CACGTATGTTTGGAGCCCATCCCTAGATCTGAGATGAGGCTAGTATAAGTTCTGGCATGGAGAATCAACCACCGTAGTTAAAAGTCAGGCAGCGGAGGCAGTACACCCTTCCTTCCTTCCTTTCCTTCTTTCTTTTTTTGGAGAGGGTTTTTCTATAGGGCGCGTGCACTCGCCAGAAAGACAGAGACAGAGAAACAGAAAGAGAGGAATCCCCCCCCCCCCAGGGGGGATGGCCATGCTGCAATCCCTTCTCCTCCATTCTCCTCTCGGAATCTTGGGCATGCACACACATGCACCTGGTGTGAGTTTAAGCCACCAGGTCCGGGACTCGAACCACGGTCAACTACAGGAGAGTCCAGTGACATAGCCATTACACTAACTGCTGGTCCCAAGGCAGCATGTGTTTTAAAAACCCTCGATGTTTGTTTCATAGAGATCATTGATTTTTTTTTTTTCATGTGAGAGGGGGACAGAGAGAGACAGAAAGAGGCACCCCAATGGAGTCTTCATGTTGCAATCTATCCCATTCTCAGCCAGCCAAGGTCATGTGCACAGAGAGGCTTCAGGTCATGAACCCAGGACCTTCCATTATGGTCTCTGCACCATGGAACACTGCACTACCACCGTGTCACCATGGCAGTTTTAATGGGCACCTAACAACTGTAGTTAAAAGAGAGCTCAATCAGCATTTGCTCAGAAACTACTATTTTCCATACTGTACTGCCGGTATTCAGAGGTGAGGGTAGGAGACAAGACAGAAAAGAGGAGACATGCACAAACTAAACTTATCTGTGCCAAGAAAACGGGAAAGTGGTGTGAAGAGAAAGTGCTGATATGAATTCTGTACATTTCCTGGAGGAGGAACTTTTCATCTTTATTTTTAAGGAAAAAAAGAGGATGGGTCAGAAACCAATCACATAGCCTAAGAGATATTCCATGATGTATAGGAAGAAGTGAGATTTCCGAAAGGATAGCATGTTCATAAGTCATAATTAAAATAAGAAATCAAATATTGGCTAATAACTATGGCAGTACCATCGTATGCATAAGTCCAAGATCCAAGTCCTATCATTAAACATTTTATGGCCGTAGGGCCTGATGGTGGCACAGCAGTAAAACAAGACATTGTGCAAGGCCGGCCCCTGGAGGGAGGGTCTGAACGGTAAGCACGGAAGCCCCAGAGACCTCCCTGCATACACCAGACGAGTGCTTTCCCATGAACCAAGGCGGCGAAGGCTGGGGCGGATTGCGGTGTCAAGACCAGACTGGAGGTGCTGCCTTCTCTGTCTCCCTCACTAAGGAAGAAATACATATGTCAACTTTAAGAAAAAGAATGATGATCTAGCCTGGGGTAAGGCAAAGATAAAGTAGATACATAGATACCACATAAATACCAAATAATACTAAGAGGTAAATATTTGACCTAGCCTGGGGTAAGGCAAAGATAAAGTAGATACATAGATACCACGTAAATATCAAATAATACTAAGAGGCAAATATTAACTAATACTCCAAGGCGGTATTTTCTTAATACCAAACGACGAGTATCGGCAGAGAAAGATATTGTTTAGGGGCTCTCCATCAACTACAGTATGAGGGAAGACTTCCTGGAGGTGAAGATTAGACACTGGAAATAGGTCAGGATTATCCTGAACAGAAGAGCAGGGAAGATATTTCAGGCACAGGGAGTTGAAGTATGTCGGTGTACATAAGAGCTGCCGGAAGGGCAGTAAATTCACCCTGTGGAATTTATTTGCAAAGGAAAAATACATCATGACTTTTCTGATGACCCAACAAAAATACAAGCCAGGGCCAGGTGGCAACGCCGTGGTAATGCAACAGGAAAAAGGTCCTTGGGCCCCCCTGGGTATGCTGGGGCAGGTGCCCTTGACCCAAGCCAGCTACAGCTGAGGGCAGATCACGATATGGGGACACCATGGCAGGTGCCTGTCTCTGTCAAATAAATAAATTAAAATGGAGACAGTCACCCATCCTGATTACACTCCTCTGAGAATCTGTTCACATCCAACACATGCCTAGAACCTTGGGGAGAGGGCAGATAACCCTCCAGTGAGGGTTTGGTTTTGTTTTGAAGAGAGATTTTTGCTATAGGGTGAATGTGCTCGCTAAAGAGATGGAAAGAGAAAAAGTGAGAAATCGCCCCCCCCAGGGGAGATGGCCACACCACAATCCCTTCTCCTCCACTCTCCTCTTGCCATTTTGGGCACACACGCACACGCATGCACTTGGCGTGAACTTTAAGTGCCAGGTCCAAGGCTTGAACCACAGTTGGCCAAGGTGGAATCCAGCGCCTTGACTACTACGCCACCTGATGGTGCCAACAATGTGGATTTTATTGGGTCATCAGAAAAGTCGGGATGCATCTTTTGCACAGAAAACCCCATAATTAGCTCTACAGTAGGTCTGACAGCAAGTGCTCATCTATACACAAACTTTCTAACAGAATGACAGTCAGGGCTCAAAAGCCAATCCTTGAAAAGACACATACAAGAAGACTTCCACAGTCTTTTGAGAAACACGGTTGTAGCTCACCCACTGAAGAGGAAAAATATCGAGTTACTGAAGTAAGAGGAAGTCGACATTATCACAAAGATCTTTCCACACCTGCTTCGGCTGCTCCTTCGTGGCCTCTCAAGGTTGAAGTGCTTTTCATGACATTTCAAAATATGGATGAATAGGAAGCTGGAGAATTCGCTCCTCGTTTGATTTATAACCCCAAACAGCGAGCTCTTCCTGTTTCAGGCATGGACGTGGGATGAATTGAGCACTGGCTAGCCCGTGGCTCGAAATGTCACTTCTCTGCAGAATTACTACGGAAGGAAGGTGAGGAAACTGGTCTCCATGGACTACGATGTGGATTCCATGGAAGAAATCATTAGCGACCTGGCTTTCACTAACACACGCCACACACACAGACACACACACACACACACACACACACGCATGCACACACTAAATTCCACCTCAAGTGTGATGAGAATTACAGAATCCAGGTCTCTCCGCAAATGTTGTCACTGTGCTTGTTGTACTAACGTGAAAGAGACTTTTTATTGTGAAAAAAGAAAAGGTGACAAGCACATGTGAGTAACATGCGATTTAAATCCCAGTACGCAATCTTCAGCAAAAAAAATATACCTATATAATCATTTTGAAGGGGGAAGAAAAATCTCACTTAGAAAAGACTTCTATACATGGAGTTTCACTTTGGTTTGTGAAATCTACAGGACACCCCAAGATTTTAGCATGCCAAATGTCTCCCAGCCTCTCTTAATACTTAATAAGTTCATAATGATTTCATGTGAATTCAGCAGTAACTATAAAAAGCCAAGTAGGAACACTTTCCAATCCATTTAAAGTCCCAAGAACGCCCAGCTAGGGTCAGATGACATCATTATCTGTAATTTATTTTAAGTAACTTTGGTTCAAAATTTTTTAATTCTCTCCGGATGAATTGTGAATGTACTTCTGGATATAATTTGGCTGACTAATCAAGGAACACCTTGTGTTTACTAGTGGAGTTGCTTCTTCCTTCTCAGAGCATCTGTTTGAAGTTGGGTACCCTTTTGACATCCACACCCCTCCCTACCACACCATTCTGCATTCATTTCATAGCGCAGTTCGACACAGCAAGACGAACCCTCACGCAGTCAGTCAGACAAGTTCCAGGTATGCTGTTTGTATTGATATTCCTTCTCCTCAAATATCTGAGCTGATCTGCACACCACCCTAAGCCAAACCGAGAAGGAAAAATCAGATATGTCATCCCTCAGTGCTCATTTACGCAGGGTGCTATGATGAACCAGAGCAGAAAGCCAGCAGAAAGCTCTCAAAAATCCAAACAACTAACCCAGTCTACGGACAGTGCCAAGAGTCTGTCCCTCACAGTGCAGACATTCTCATCCTTCTCAAAGTCTGTGGAACTAGTAAGAAGGCCTGTGTGGTAACACATTTCCTTCGCACAACCCGAAAGGGCCTCAAAGCAAACCTACATCGGATTTGAAGGGGCGTCCTCTGCTCTTTCCACACTGGCAACACAGACACTTCTCAAAGAAAGAATTGCTTTGTGGACTTCCCTCCTACTGGCAGCCCCACTGATTAGAGAACAAGGGTCCTTGGATCGAATGGGTTCGGTACCTACTGGCTGCAAACTGTGGTCATGTGACAACACATATTCATGTGCTGACATTTGGTGTTATTGTGAGGGTTGAGAAAGTAGAAACTTAATTTGACTGTGGCATTGTGAAGTTGGACACTTGAAAGGGAACAAAGGTTAGATAAGGCTATCAGGGTAGGGCCTCTCTGACTGAATACTGGTGGCTTTATAAAATAGGGAGAGAGAGGCTGGCAGGTGGTGTGGTGATTAGAGGTGCTGGATTCCCACGTGGCCGACCACAGTTTGAGTTCCCAACGTGGTGGCTTGCTTTCTTGCTTTCTCTCTCTCTCTCTGGTAAAATTCAAATAATAATAATAATAATGAAAAATATAGTGAAATAAAAATAATTATAAAAAATTAAAAAATAAAAGAGGGAGAGAGGCCAGCCACAGTGGAGATCCTGGCTAGCTGAGGCTGGTGGTAAGATCGTGGCATGAAGACCCTGCCAGGGGTGTTTGTCTCTGTCTCTCTCTCTTTCTCTCCCTCTGGAATAGATAAATAAACCTCAAATTTAAAAAAAAAAAAAAAAAAGAGAGAGGGAGACAGACCAGCCCTGGCCACATTGCCTTGCCCTGTGATGGCCTGCACTGCCTTTGGCAGAGATCCTTCGCCAGCGAGAAGGCCCTCCACTTGGGTTTCTACCTTAGACTTCCAACAAACCCAACAAACTGCAAACTGAACAAACCTTCGCTTTTTATAAATTACCCAGTCTGCGGTATTCTGTCCATAGCAACAGAAAACTGGACTGAAACACCACACAAACGTCAAGTTGAGGACAGCCATGGCTCAGTGTCCCTCAGCACCAGACAGAAGCACAGTCACTTACGTGGTAGTGGCCCAGTCTCCAAAGCTCCCTCCATCTGTGAGAAGGTGGTTTTCGTCTGGCCCAAGAGGCACACGGCCAGCTGCAGCAGAGGGCGATGCGGAGGCAAGGGAGTCCAGACTGCTGCTGGGAGTGTCTTCCTTAGGAGGGTTCCCACTGTCACCTAGGCAGAAGAATGCATTGCATTTCAAATGGATCCTTAGAGAAGAGAAAACAACTCCACTAATAAGGTCATGGCGTTGCTTGATCAGTCCATCGAAGACGTTCAAAATTACAATTCAGCCTGAAAGGATTTGAGTGTCCTAATCGTTAATTTTTATCTTTTCTAACCAAAGGTGCCTAAAATAAACCACAGATATTACATAGGGAAGAGTATTTTCCTCACATAAAAACACAATAACCAGGAGCCAGCAGGTGGTGTGGTGGTTGGGGTACTGGATCCCACATGTCCAATGGCAGTTCCAGTCCCAGACCTGATGGCTTGCTTTCTCACTCTCCTTCTCTCTTGCCTCTCTAGTTAAACTGAATAATTTAAAAAAAAAAAAAAAGAACAAAACAAAAAACAACAACAACAACAAAAAACTCCACGAACACGATAACCCAAATCAGAGGAAATGGAAGGTGAAAGCCTTACCAGTGGCCACATGGTGTCCTGACCTGTAAGGAGCCGGGACATAAACTAAAAACATCAGGAAGAGCTCAGAGCAGGTGCCAGCCCTGGCCCCACGGCACTCAATCTCCCTGCACCTGCAGGTTCTTTGAGCCATCCTGAGTCACAGTTTAGTGGATAATACTAGGTTGTATGAAAAGTCATGATGTGAGGCCGACCATGGTTCGAGTTCTGGACTTGGAGGCTTACTTTCTCATTCTCTCTCTCTTTCTCTGGCAAAACTCATGAGAATGAATGAACAAATGAATAAAATAATTCTTTAAAAAATGAGACAAGAAGTCATGATGCATTTTTGCATAGAAACACACAGAAAACTATGTCATGACTTTTCTGATGATCCAATAAATTAAATGACTATAAAGAGATCTAGTCTTTTTGGGACCAGCAGTTAGCGTAATGGCTATGTCGCTGAATTCCCATGTAGTCGACCGCGGTTCAAGTCTCAGACCCGGTGGCTTAAACTCACGCCGGGTGAGAGTGTGTGCATGCCCAAGATCCTGAGAGGAGAATGGAGGAGAAGGGATTGTGGCATGGTCATCCCCCCTGGGGGGTGATTTCTCGCTTTTTATCTCTCTGTCTCTCTCTGTCTTTCTGGCGAGTGCACATGCCCTATAGTAAAAACCTCTGCCAAAAAAAAAAAAAAATCAAATAAAAAAAAAAAAGATCTAGTCTTTTTTTTTTTAAAGAGAGATTTTTGCTATAGGATACATACGCTCACTGGAGAGACAGAGAGATAGAAAGTGAGAAATCACCCCTCAGAGGAATGGCCATGCTGCAATCCCTTCTCCATTCGGATCTGGGGCACACACGCACATGTGCCTAGGCTCTGATGAAGCAGGCTCCCAAGATGCTAATCTTGAAAATTGATTGTGCTAAATAATCTTACTGGGCCAGCAGGTGGCATGGTGATAGCCAGCTGTGCCCTCCGAGTCCTGGACCCAGCAGCTTGAAAAACATGCCAGGTCATGTGTGTGCATGCCCAGAATCCTGAGAGGAAAACGGAAGAAAGGGGATTGTGGCACATAATTATTTCTGGGGCTTTAGTTCACCAAAAATCAAGGCCATCCCACCTAAGGGGTTCTTTCTCACTTTCCCTCTCTCTCTGGCCAGCACATGCATCCTAGAACAAATTAAAATAACAATAACAATAATAATAATAACAATAACATAACAATTACCCTGATTCAGGTTATAATTAAGAGAGACTTATAGAAATGAAGATCTAGAAAAGCTGAATTCAGGGAAGCGGACATTAGAGATGGCAGCGATGGCTGTGGGGAGGAACTGCTTGTGGGGCAGTTAGGGTGGACACCGGGATGTCCCTGTGCAGAAGACCCTGGTAAGGAAGACTTCCTGAGCTCACTCTTCCCTGTGTGTTGTGAAGGAGTGTGGGGAGGGGGAGTATGGTGGAGCAAGAGATGAATCCTATCTCCGTGGGCGATTCTTCTCCCTGGTCTCAACCTCCCCATAAAGCCTGTGCTGACCCCGTGCACAGATGTCCAGGCTAGAATTCGGTGTGGTTATGACTGCGCTCACGGTGAAGTCACATTTTCCGCAGCCCTTACTGCAGACGTCGTTAGCTAACTGGAGATACTTAGTCCTGACAGAAGGGCCCATTCAGGCAAATGGATTGAAACCCACAGCTAGACCACTGCTACAGGCCCCTATTAATTTTTCTCTGGGACACAGTCCATGGTGGGGCACAGCAGTGGACTGGAGCTTCAACCTCCCCAGGCCCTTCCTGAGTCCCTCAGTCACTAAGAGCAATGACGCCCTTCCGAGTAAGAGGGGCTCAGATGCAAGCCAGCAGGGTGTAGAGCACACCCCGAACACCGAACACCGTTCTTCGGGACAGCTGCCAGTTCAGGGCACGGCTGGACATCACCCGCTGTGGTCTCAGCTTGGAAGCAGACAGGGTACCGCCCACAGTGAGTCCAACACCAGGGGCTCCCTGGCCTCAGGAGGCTGGATCCTGGTCCTGGCCTTTCTCGGGCTGCATTTCCTGACTGTGGGGCAGGGCAGGGCACGGCAAAAGCAACAATGAGCATCTGGGACCGGCTTATTCCCTGACTCACTCCTACCAGGAGAAAGCTGTCAATGAGAGGCAACCTGAAAGAACAGGAGACGCGAGTCTAATGTTAGTTAAAAAGATGCCTGTACTGTTGCACCACCAGCTACGGCAGCTCATTTCCATGGCCTCTAATCCTTCTGCCAAGCAGACTGACGCAGCACAAATCGCCATTGAATGTATTAAATCACATGCTATGAAGAGAATTCGCTCTTCCTTCCTGCCCAACAGTGGCGATCTGAGCCCTCAAGTGAAAACAGTATTGGTGGAGGGGATATTTTTACTTAGACTGATCCAATGAAGGGATACCTCACCCTGTTTCCCAAATGCACAAAATTCCTTTCTTGTTAATTCCCACTTCCTCACTCTTCGGGAATGAGCCTATCTTCTTGAGGGGATTGCTGAATTTGAGGCAGAACTAACATCAGATAAATGTTAAATATTATACTTATGTCAGGGACTTCAAATAACCACCTTCTAACTAATATGAAAACGGTACAACTTTTTAGAAAAATTCTGTGTTTGACAAGTTCTGGAATAGACTTTAAGCCCTATTAAACTAATTTATAAACGAGAACTATGGTCAGTTACCCTCATCATCACCTACCATTTTTTAAAGTTTATCTATTTCTCCCATGAGTTGCATGAGAGAGGAATGGAGAAGACACCCCCACCAGGATCTCAGCACTGCGATCCTTCCCTGCTGCACCAGCCCTGGAGAGGGGCACGCCTGTGCCCAGCGTGCTCAGAAAGGACTCCGAATGCTAACCTGGGACCTTCCCACGTGGCTGCACCAGCACTTGGCTCCATCACCCACCATTTCTTCGGTGTGGTCACCCAACTTCTTCCTTTCAAATGCTACCCTTTACAGGCACTGACAGATAACTCATCTGTGAGTAAAAAGGGTGTTCTGGGATGTGAACAAAAATGGTGCTAAATGACTTTCATTAAGGACAGACTCCAAGGTAAAAAATTAAAAAAAGGAACCCTTAGGCCCTACCACCACCCGCCAGATAAAATGATGCCCCACAACCTCGGCCTAATTCCCACTTGTCCCCACAGTTGGACAGCCACCCTGCCTGCCTCTTTGCTTTCTCACTACTACTGGGTCGTCAGAAAAGTCATGATGTATTTTTCTATCATCTTATGCAAAAGTGCATCATGACTTTTCCAACGACCCAAGATAAGCAGCAATTAATTTTATATTTCGCGTCCCATCATGGCTTTAGGATGGTATTAGTTCCCCATTTCCATGATATGTTTTTTCAGGGCGGGGAAGATACCAGATTCTTGGTAATCCTTAAAGCACACAAAGGTAGAGAGACCAGGGGCTGGAATGACTGTGTACTCACTGCCACGAGAAACTCCTGAGTATGGCATCCAGAAACCGAGACAGGAAAGATGTAAGCACCTCAACGCAGTCTCACAAAATCAGCACATGACTTCCGATTCTCATCTCCCCTCTTCCGTGCCACAAGCGTTTCTCCACGGTTCTTTATTTGACCAACTAGCATTTAATGTGTTTCTTTCTGCTCATGCACAAGCACATCACCGGCACTGAGTTACAGAGGTAAAGAGTCGGTCCCCTTGGGCCAGCAGGTGGCCTGGAGGTTAAGGTGCTGGATCCCGCATGACTGACTCTGAGGTTCAAGTCCTTGACCTGGCGGCTTGAAAATCACTCTGAACACATGTGCATGCATACCCAAAATCCTGAGAGGAGAATGGAGGAGAAGGGACCGCAGCATGGCCAGACTCCCTAGAGATTTCTCACTTTCCCTCTTTCTC